AATTTCCTATTGGCGAAACACTGGCTCACCTAAGATACAATTACTTTTCATTTCTTTTCTCTTATTTCCGATTAAAAATATTTAATTTGAAAATTTAAAGGTAGCTGAAAAGGTTGTGTTCTTTAAATTTTGTGTTGTAAGCCACCAGACGGTTACAATTTGATTTCACATACCCTTTTTTGGCTTCTTTTTTATCCTTATAGCTTCAAAGGGCTCCAGGTATGGTTCTAGAGGAAGCAAGGAAGGGGGGGGGGGGGGGGGTGTTCTGCAAGACGAGAAAATCTGAAAGCTTTCGTTCAGTTTCACAACGTACCGTTTAAACAGTGTTTAGTTCTACTTTGTTCGAAGTCTCTGGAAACCACATTTCAAAAGCATTAATTTTCACATTAAAGGCCATTCGTATTGTTTTAATAAGGAATTCTCATTAGCTTTAAAATAATCTTAAATAACAATTCACAGACTTAAATATTACAAAATGCTGATAAGTTTAGTTTAGTTTTTGTACCATTATAACAAGGTAATAATAAATATTGCCTAAAATAGTTGCTCAAATGGTGGCCCTTTCTTATTCATTGATTCATAATTTCACAGTTTTACAACGGTTTTCATTACTAATCCTCAGACGTTGCTCTAAAGCAAAGTAGACACCATATAGCGCATTCATCGGCTGCTCGTTTTTCTCTGCTGTTGTATGCAGTACTTGCTGCTGTGTCGCTTGCCTGGGCTTTGCGCTCGCAACTAGGTTTGGGAAAATGAATCTCGATTCCAGCAGTGCACTGGTTCGTGTCATCCAGGGACTTGGTTATTGTTATCTTGCGTACTTTCTGCTTGACATCATCCTTCCAAACTCCTGGTAAAAGATTGCTTAGCTCTTTCTGTACGATTGGTATATTATGACATGGCACGACTTTGTAGTAGAAAAACTCGGTTACGATTTCTGTCGATGTGTCGCCTGTCGTAACGATTCTGGTGGTGGATTCTTTTGTGTACCCCCTGCTTTCTAAGTTGGCTTTTCTCAGCATTTGGTGCATTTGGAGGCTTGTTGGTTTGAAGTCACGATCGAATATTCTGAAGTCGTCTTTTTCTTTCGCTGCTTGGGTTAAAACTGTGGGTGAAAACCAAACAGTTATCACTGTTGAACTTTGCTAAAGTAAAGGCATCTGCTTTATAAGAACAGACTTACTGAATAGTGGAGAATGCATCACATTAGTGGTTACTAGTTGGAACTGTGTTGGTGTGTTGAATACAACAAGTGAATAAGAATGACTAKWGGTTACTAGTTGGGACTGTGTTGGTGTGCTGAATATAACAAGTGAATAAGAATGACTAGTGGTTACTAGTTGGGTGTGTTGGTGTGTTGAATACAACAAGCGAATAARAATGACAAGTGCTTACTAGTTAGGACTGTGTTGGTGTGTTGAATACAACAAGTGAATAAGAATGACTAGTGGTTACTAGTTAGGACTGCGTTAGTATGTTGAATACAACAAGCGAATAAGAAAGAAACTCAAACATCGTGTAAATTTTTTTAACAATAACTATCATGCTGACGTGTTGGACATTCTATAATTCAAAATACGTCTTTTTGACATACGAATTAGCCATACGAGTTGAAAACGACCTTCAATTTTCGACTAACCATTCATTAATAAAGGAAAACTCAACATTTTTTTCCAAATTACTTCAGTACGGTGTTATCCAGTAAGGGTTATACTTTGCGGCAAAAACAATGGTTTCCGTTGCTCTTTCGCAGCCATTTTAAACCGAAGCGACTGTTTTTTTTGAATCTCAAAGCTGTCAAGATCGGTCTACTTTTTAGAAGATAAAAATTTCCTTTGGAATGCTACGACGTGATCTGTTTGTAATCGTTGCGGTTTTCAAGTGATGTGCGCGCCTACAGAAAAATTTCTAACTTGTTAATTAGTCTTAAGTGGCATTGCGAGTGAAAGTGAAAGCCATGAATAGAGGGCAGAAATATCTAGTTTACAATTAGCAAAAGGGACAAGCATCCCCAGTAACCATACGTCTTTGTAATTTTTGAGAAGTTTAGGAGGTTGCTACAAAAAAGRTATGAAACCCAAATCTTAAAACTCAAGAAATTTACTAATTTTGATGTACTCTTTCTTGTTATGGTGTTTATGTTTTAACTAGGTCGTTAATTCTAAAAAAATAAACTCATCCTAGTCCTCAACTTGTTCTGAAGTGGCCAAGAATCCTAGCTATAATTATAAGTATGATTATCTTRACGAGAAATATTGTGTCATAAGGATAAGTGTCAAACACTTGATATTTATCATTCCGATCTACTACACATCACAGTAAAGCCCAACTGAGGAACGCGGAGAAACTTTTTACGAATACTTAAACGACACACCCCGAAGAACTGATTAGTCGGCTTAACGGATTCGACTCGGAGCGTATTTATCAACATTGCTGTTAATRAAATAACTTACCTAGTAGAGAGATTGACCAAATGCATAATACTAAAGCCATCTGCTTCATCAACGAAAAGATGGCCATCATGTAGTTGTAGTAGTTAACAATAATGGGTTTTTAGTTGTCTTGCTCGCTGCCTCACCGACTGCTTCAAGTGACTGTGTCTAATGCTCCCGGTATTTAAGCCCAGGCATTTTGTTATTGGATACTGACGTCACGAATTGTTAAMCGGTAGTATCCATGATACAAACTTCCCAATACGTACGTCGAATGGGAAATGAGACATACTTCTTGAGTGGGGAATAAGGCTTCCTATTGTCTTCCTGAAACAATGTAGAATATAATCTGCTCTCAATACCCCAGAATAAGGATACTAATATTACGATAAAAGTTGTTCGCTTCTATTTCGTGTCGAAACACGTCTCATTCTCAGGTTTGATGCAAACTTTTTCTTTACCGACAACCTTGTTGCGATCTGGCGAGACAGTTTCGATTATTCCTCCAATCTATTTATTCTAAAAAAAATAGATAAAACACTTAAAATACCGTTAAAGTACTCTCACGTTTTTTAGTTATACTACAAGATCCTTTCCAGTATTCCTTGACAATACCAATATCACTACGATAACGAAAGCTGTCGTCCTTAACTGTCAAGGTTATTAAGTTTATTTCTCAATTTACCGACTAACGTTTAATACTGTTTATGAGACGCCGAACAGACCGGTAAAAATATCTTGTAATAGACACACCACTACTGAGAGGAAGAAGGTTTGACACTTGGACTGATACTAAACACCTCCTATGCGTTCTCTTTTCCAAGCCAGGTCATCATTTGGAAGTTAATTCYATTCAGTTCTGTATAGAATTGAGCTTCCGTTCTGTATTGTATTAGGCTCAGGACCTCGTTTAAGCAAGAATGATCGGATTTCCCCACCATTGCTTTATCTAAATTAAAGTCATATCCGACAAATATTTTTTTAAGCAAAACAGGTCTCCTTACTTTTTTTAGGCTTGCCCAATGATGCCCATTTTAAAATATTTCAGCTCGTACAACAGTAATATCTAGATCAAATTTGGAACGATTTTCGTCATTGTTTAATATTAGGAGCTACGTTCTTATTTTTATTACGAAATACTATATTCAATTTTTTRATTGGATTAGGCTGCGTACGAAAGAACACAAGGTATTTCTCTTTCCTTTCCTTAAAAGGAAGCGCTTGTTTATTCCTTTATTTCTGATAAAGTCGTACTAAAATGTCACTTGTGGGTCTGGCGTATTTCTGGCAGAACTCGCGTGTTTCTCAGGTTTTTAATAGGATTTGGATGGCATCAATATGTTATATAGCACAGTTGACTTGAGTGAGATATCCTAACAATGTCTGGGGATTCCTTTTCGATATAATACAATGATGCCTCAGAGATAGAATAGGAAACTTTGTTAGCGTGAATCATTCGCTTAAATGCTAGCTAGTTTACAGATAGTCCGCTTAATGATTAATAATAACGTATATAACATCGAGATATTTGAGTATTCTCGATACTCCTATTTCACGGGGATTACCGGTTGGTAAAATTGCTTACTGAAGATCGTGTCGTTGCGGACACAAATCATTCAAATTTTTTTTTTAAACCATATGCAACCAAATATATCTAACACTCTGCGCAAAACAGAATATATTTCTATATCTTTACATTGCATTGAGTTCATTTATCCCACGTTTCATGGTATGGAAGAATATAATTATTGGTATTTACTGAAAACAACCTTGTATTGGATCGTACTATATAGCGCCTAATGAAGGTCTTTTGTAGTTCATGTTGTGGGTCAGTCTTCACTTGTATTAGCAAATCCTTTCAACTTCAATAACAAGCTCCAAAATTTCATAAAGTTGTTATCAAAGATATTTTCTCGTTAGATTCACTTTTAAGTTAATCAGTATCGTGAGAACCTCTTGAGTGTTTTAAAGGTTTTCTCAATAACAAGCTCCAAAATTTCATAACGTAATCAAAGTATTTTCTCGTTAGTTTTACTTTTAAGTTAATCAGTATCGTGAGAAC